GGCTGAAAGGGGATGAAGGGGGTAAAGGGGGGTTTACCCCCCCCCTGGAGAAAATTTCTCCCAAAAAAACCAGAAAATAAAAACCCGCTTGTAAATTATAATTTTCTATGAATAAAATCGACCAGGATGTTGCCCAAAGGTTGCGAAAGGTTTTTAAGAAAACAGCCGTTTGAAATGAATGCCCTATTTGAAACGTGGAGGTCATTTACAGTGACCCGGTCATGTACGTGGGGCCCTGCGCACAGTCAGCCCGCTCATTGATTGTTTAAATTTGGATAGTACTTATTCTTAAAATGAAGGGCTATATAGTAAGTAATTTATGGTGTTGTAGAAAGGCAAGGAGCCGAGTATTGTAAATAGTAAAAGTGCAGCGCAGCAGCAGCAGCAGCCCGCAGCAGCCGCAAACAGCAGCAGAGCAGCAGCAGCAGCAACAGCAGCAGTAGCGCTGGGTGACAGGAGGGGTAGATTAGTGGTGACTCCTCCAGTATGAACCCAATTATCGGCACTTCCCCCTCAGGCACTGTAAAAAAATGATAGGGGAAATGGAAAAGGCCCGGGAAAACGAACAGAAATAGAAAAATAGTACATGAGGGAAAAGGTTGAGGGCTTTAAAAATAGCAGAATATTAATTGTGTCACCCCTCGTATGGACTTAACCCTCACCAATTTACAACCTAAGCAGTTTTCCCGATGGGTTGCAGGCGGGGACCTTCCCCCCAAATTTTGGGAAATTCATTTTCCCAAACAACAGTACCCCGGAATTTTCCCTTTAATGACTGTGAATGCAAAAAGCATATTACATTTTATTCAGTATATGTCACACACCCCATAGGCTGCCTCCCAAACATTGAACCGGGTTTAACGATCAATAGGGTACCCCTCGTTAAATTAGTACCTCGGTTTAAAATTAAAGGTCAAACACAGGAAGCCCGCCCAAAATGAAACAAATGTTCAGTGGGAAAATTGGCAGCTTGCCAACCTGTGGTTGAGTACAGTGCCTTGGCTTTTTCTTTCCCCTCTGTCCCGTGGTGTACATTATATTCATTGACATATTGTAATAGTGTAATACTTGTATATATCATTGATGAAAGCAAATTACATTATAATCTATGGGGGTATTGTTTGTTGCACATTCCATTACGACCAGGTTGCAGTGGAGGTTTTTGTGACAGTGGAGGTCTTTGAAGTGGAGGATCTTGTGATGGGAGGTCTTTGAAGTGGAGGATCTTGGAAGGGAGGATCTTGTGAAGTGGAGGTCTTGTGACAGTGGGGGCTTTTGTGACGTGGAGGATCTTGTGTAGTGGAGGATTTGTGAAAGTGGAGGTCTTGTGACAGTGGGGGGATCTTGTGACAGTGGAGGCTTTTGTGCAGTGGAGGATTTGTGATGTGGAGGATCTTGTGACAGTGAAGGATCTTTTGGGCAGTGGGGAAACTTGTGACGGGGGTTTGTGACTTTTGGGGCTCTTTGACAGTGGGGCCTTGTGACGTGGAGGATCTTGTGACAGTGGAGGATTTTGTGACAGTGGAGGATCTTGGAAAGTGGGGGAATTTGTGAAATTGGACCCTGGATTTCAAAATATTTCTGCTCACCTCTCCAATGTATCTTTCCTCTTCCTGGTTTGTTTTTTAAATGAATTAAATGACAGGGCTTATGAAATCTTCGTCAAAAAAAAAATATAAAAAACTTCAATTTTTAATTAACTTACAACTCCTGTTAATTTAACAAATAATTTGTTTTATTTTCCATATTATTTTTTTAACAATGGAAAAGTAAAGGGAAAAATATAAAAAGAGATGGGACGAGACAATTTTTTTCCCGATCAAAATGCCTTTTCCCTAAATATTTAATGTGTGGCGTAGGAAAAAAATGGTCAATTAGCAAAAACTCAGTTAAAATTAGCCCTTTTAAAAAAAAATTTTCTCAAATTTAGTTTAAAGATTAAAAACATAAAAACATAAACAAAGGAAATGCAAAAGGGACTGGCCATGCGAGCAGGTCCAAGCCCCTCCGGCTAAGCATTGACCCAAACCTAGTCAGGTCGGGGTCACATTGACTTAAGGGGGAACACGGAAACCGACTGTTACCCAAAGTATCAGGCCCAAACTCCCCCCCACCCAATCTATATGTTTTATCCAAACTTTTTTTAAGCTACACAACGTTCTGGCCCCTATAACTTATTGGGAGTTTGTTCCCCCACCACAAAACTCTATTTCCAAACCCGTATTTCCCATATCCCCCCCTGAATCTGAATTTTTTAACTTAAAACCTTGCTGCGGTCTGTCTAGGCTAGATATTTTCAGCACATATTTACATCCCCTTTATTTATTCCTGTCTTCCACTTATAAACCTCAATCATATCCCCCCTAATTCAAAGTCTTTCTAGGAGGTGCAGTTTCAGGGCCCTTAGTCTATCCTCATAGGGATGGTTTCTGATACTTGGGATCATCTTTGCATCCTCCTTTGTACATTTTCCAGAGAAGTTTATATCCATTCTGTAATACGGTGACCAAAACTGTGCGCATAATCTAAATGAGGCCTAACCAAGGATGTATAGAGTTGAAGAACACTGAGGACTCCTATTATTTATGCTTCTTGATATGAAGCCAAGGTTTTCTATTAGCTTTATTGCGAACACTTATGCACTGTTGTCTTGGTTTCAGATTACTGCTAACCAGAACTCCTAAATCTTTTCGCAATTCCGTAATATTAAGATCTACATTATTTAGTTTATATGTGGCATGGTTATTGTCCTGTCCAACATTTAGAACTTTGCATTTGTCTATATTAAACTGCATCTGCCACTTCTCCGACCACTGCATCAGTCTATTCAAATCTTCCTGGAGTGCTCGAATGTCCTCGTCAGAATGAATTCGACGGCCTATTTTGGTGTCATCGGCAAACTTGCCGATGTCGCTCTTTATGCCCTCATCTATGTCGTTTATGTAGATTGTGAACAGCAGGGGGCCCCAAAACTGACCCCTGTGGAACACGCTCGTGACGCTTCCCCACTCTGATTTCTCCCCATTTATGCAAACTCTCTGCTGCCTATTTGTCAACCATGCCTCTATCCAGGAAAAAATTTCTCCTCCTATTCCATGTGCTTTAATTTTCCTCAATAGTCTCTGATGTGGGACCTGTCAAAAGCCTTACTGAAGTCCATATACACAATATCATATTCATTACCATGATCTACCTCCTCAAATACCTTAGTGAAAAAAGTTAATAAATTCGTAAGGCAGGAACGCCCCTTTGTAAAACCATGCTGAGATTCGTTGATTAATTTATGCTTTTCAAGGTGGCTACGAACTGCCTCGGCAATTATTGATTCCATAAATTTTCCCACTATGGAGGTTAGGCTTATTGGTCTATAGTTCGAAGCTAAGGACCTGTCACCTGTTTTGAAAATAGGTATCACATTTGCCATTTTCCACTTATCTGGCACCATGCCAGTTTGTAGTGATATGTTGAAAAGATTAGCCAAAGGTGTGCTAAGCTCCTCTTTACATTCCTTTAGAACCCTTGCATACAGTTCATCAGGGCCTGGGGATTTGTTAGGTTTTAATTTTCTATTTGCTAAGGACCATGTCACTTGTGACCCTAATAGTGCACAGTTTATTATCGTCCTGTTCTACATAATTTATCATTACTGAATATCGCTGGTATCCTCCTGTGTAAAAACTGAGAGGAAGTATGTGTTAAAAATTCTACACATTTCCTTATCACTGTCAGTGAGCTGACCCGAGGAACTTTTTAGTGGGCCTATCTTGTCCCTGATCTTACTTCTGTATACCTGAAAGAATCCTTTTGGGTTAGTCTTCGATTCTCTTGCAACTTTAACCTCATAATCTCTATTTGCTTTTCTATTTCCCTTTTTTATTTCTCTCTTTAACTGAATATATCGATTTCTTAATTGCCCCTCTCCTTTTTTGCTTTCTCCCCTCCCCCCCCAAATATCATTTCCACCAGCACTGAGACAGTTTTGGGCTTGTTCCCTTACCGCATGATTTTTTTCCCAGTCTGTTGCTGCCCCCAAAACCCCAGCTCCAGGGAAGCACATCTATCTCTTTCTTTTATTCCTATTACAAAAAGCACGGTAAACTTTTCTTCCCGAGAGTCCCAAAACCAAAGAATGCGCTTACCTTCATTAGCAGGGGGTAGTACCCTTACCTTCCGGGCCCACTGAAGTACATTCACCCTGGGAACGAAAAGCGTTTTCCTACCTTCAGATCTGCACTCTTAATTTCCTTCTTGATGCGCCCCCCTTAGAAAACTTCCCTAACTTATTATAAAAAGCACAATTTAATTTAGCCTAATCCAATTAAATATATTTTGTAATTTTACAATAATTTAATAATAAACAAACAAATGAGATTTTTTTATCTTTAGGTTCACATGATTTTTGCAAAATTTTTGCTTTCACAAATTTTTTATTACCTTATTGGAAAGAAGAGCGTTGCTTTTAACCCAAAATTGCAGTTTTCCCTATTCGGCACAAATTATATATATATATATATTATAATATATTTAATTATATTTTATAATATTTTAAATTTTTATATATATATTATAAAATTATATTTTTATTTAAATAAAAAACAGGGACTAGCATTTTTTTGGGCCCGCCTCATGGTGAGCGCGCAGCAGAAAGCAGAAAAGCAGCGCAGAGCAGCCAGCACCCAAGCAGCAGCAGCGCAGCAGCAGCAGCAGCAGCAGCAACAGCAAACAGAAACAGCAGCAGCAGCGCAGCAGCAGCAGCAGAGTAGCTCAGCAACGCAACAAGCGCCAGCAGCGCAGCAGCAGCGCAGCGCGCAGCAGCAGCGGGTAGCAGCGCAGCGCGGAAGAGCAGCCAGCAGCAGCGCGCGCAGCAGCAGCAGCAGCAGCGCAGTCGCCCCGGGCTACTCTGTACCTGCCCCAGTTTGTTTAAAGGTGTGGGGGGAAGCAGGTCCGGGGTTTTCTACCACAATAAAACACCCCCCAACTAGCCAACTTTAATTGGGACTATGTTGCTTGGGTTTATTTTTCTGGAATATGGTGTAGGAGCCTATGTAAGTACCTTATTTACGGCGGCAAAAATTTTGATAAACGCCGAAAACTTTTGTGTTAGAGATAAGTTAAAAGACGTTAGTAATTCAATGTTGTTTTAAAGTTGAAAACACAATTTTGTAGTATTTAGAAAATATTATAATAAAAATGATGTACGTTAGTAACCAAAGCAGTACGTTAGATAACACAAATGTTGAAAATTGTTAGATAAAACATGCAGTAACACGAGGCAGTTTCCTGAGTGGTAATGCAGGAAATTAAATTTGGGTTTCCCCCTTCCTTGGATCGAGTAACTGCCCCATTCCTCGGGGGACCAACCGAAGTGGTAGTCGTCTTGTCTTTTTGAAACTTTCCGTGCGTAACTGGTGTTAGAAGTTTGTGAATATTATTAATTTCCTCGTCTCAACCCCAATTACTGCAAAAATTCCCCTTTACCCGCACACCTTAAAGAGGCGACTTAAATTACAATTGGTTCCCAGTAATTTTGGGTTTTTAAAAAAAAGGAAATACTTGGAGTATACTTAAAAAGGGTTTTCGGGGTCAACGCCCCCGCGGCCCAGTCTGGACCGGGCCTGGGGGGTTCGAGCCTGATGAACCAGGTTTTATGCTTACGCCAAAAATGAGTAAAAACTAACCCCTGGGTAGTCAGGTGGGTCCTATCCAGCCCTTCTTGAAAACAGCTGGGGAACTATTGGGAAATCCCCCTTATGTAGCGAGAAGCGGGTTAAACAGTTTTGGGGCCCCTTTAACACTTATTGTTTTGTTCTTAGCATACTATGGCACCTTGGTTTTCATTGGGGGGAATGTTGCAAATCCTCCCAAAGTTTTACTTTCTTTTCGGGTGTTTTCTTGTGCAGTTTGGGGACTAGCCCCTCTAGGTTTTTTCCAAGTAAATATTTTCCATGAACTTTTCCCCTGCATTTCGGGAATCAAATAAGGGCTTAAAACGTTCCCCAATTTAGGTGCTTTATGTATTATAGGGCCAGAAAGTTCTTGTCTTCTCTAGGTCTGCGTTTCTCCCCCTTAAAAAGGGGCTTTAAATGTACAACAATATTCCACCCAGAGAGATAAAAATTTAAAGGGGGAATTATCAGGGGTTTGGCGCCCTATTTTTAAAAGGTTTTTTCTCTTTTCCCATCCTATCGTTTCCATCACGTAGTATAGTTATTTTGTAATCTGTTTTTTCTGTTTCATTTTTACCTGTTTTCCCGGGCCCAGTTCTCTGTTGGTGTCTGTTTTTATATCTGCACTCTTACAGTCGTCACAAGACAGCACCAGCCCCAGGGCTGACAGCGCGACCAGGGCTGACAGCACCGCCCCAGGGCGGGACAGCAGCAGCACCGGGCTGAAGCACCAGGGCTGGCGCACCAGCACCAGGGCTGCGCACCAGCCCCAGGGCTGACGCCCCAGCCCGAGCTGACCCCAGCCCAGGGCGACAGCACCGCCCCAGGGCTGAAACCCCCCCGGGGTGACAGCCCGCCCCAGGGTGCAGCCCAGCACCAGAGCTGACAGCCCCAGCCCCCGGGGCTAACGCCCCGGGGTGACGCCCCGCACCGGGGGCTGACGCACCAGCACGGGCTGACGCACCAGCCAGGGTGACGCACCACCCCCGGGCTGACAGCACCAGCACCAGGGCTGACGCCCAGGGCTAAAGCAACGGGGGCTGCCCCGGACAGCACCAGACGCAGCACCAGCACCAGGGTTGCAGCACCACCCCCAGGGTGACAGCACCGCCCCGGGCTGGCGCACCAGCCCGGGCTGCAGCACCGCACCAGGGCTGACGCACCGCACGGGGCTGACACACCAGCACAGGGCTGAAGCACGCACCAGGGCTGACAGCCCAGCACCAGGGTGACACACAGCCCCAGGGGCAGCCCCGCCCCCAGGGCGGGACAGCACCACAAAAGGGGCGACACCCCCTGGCCCCCCCCCAACCCAGGGCGGGGCAACACAGCACCGGGCGACCCCCCATCGATCCTTTTATTTTCCCCGTTTTTAAAAGAGTCAAGATTTTTACGATGGTTTTTTTTTTTGGTGTTCATGCCCTTTGTATAAAGAAAATTTCTGTCGAGGTTTTCCTCGCTTGGCCAGACCCAAAAAACATTTTAGGTTTTAATTCATTTGGGGTAGGCTGCTAAAAAATTTACTATGCCCCCATGGTCCTTTTTTTTCACGGATCGCGGGCAACCCAAGTGGACATGGCTTATTATTATTGCTTCAAAAATTTTTTTTAGATAATTTACAGTTTCAGTTTTTTTTTTTTTTTTTTTCCCCGGTATTTCCCGGCCCGGGTGTTTTAAAGTAGTGGTGCCCCGGGCCCTTTTGGCTCCCTATCTGGGGAGTGTCTCGAGACTAATTTCCCCCATGGGAGGGGTACAAGTCCTCCTCTCTTTGGGCCCCAAGTGCCCCCAGGCCTAGCCCTTTCCCCCGCCCTCACGGGCTCGTAGGGGAAGCTGGTTTGGGTCTGCCTTTCTGCCCCCCCCCAAAGGGCTCGGGGGATGGCAGTCTTGTGGTGCAGTGGTAGAACTAGGCAGTTTCAGTTTTCCATACATAAATTTTTTACTCGTGGTCACTTGACAAGTTCACAGCACCAATTACGTAAAATATTTTTTTCAAAAAGTTGTGGTACCTTTTTCATCTCCAAGATTTTGGGTTTCTATATATCACTGCTTTAAATTTTTTCTAGATTTTTTTTCAACCCCCCACACCAAATACTTGGAATTACGATTGTTAGCTATGACAGAGGATGCTGCAGAAAGTTCGTTAGAAAATATTTGGCTTCTGTTGTGTACACCAACCGCTGCCAACTATAATTTTTCCTTATTTCCACAAATAAATGGACACTTTCGACAATTTTTGGGGGTTTTTGGTCAAGGTACATGGTAAATATGTACTCCCTGTGTCTCTTTATACACTTGAAAAACGTTGTCTTAAACTAGCAGGTTATATTTTGATGAGTACATACGATGACTGGTGAGTGAACCATAACCCACTGGAGGTGACACCATAAACCCCTGGAGGTGACAATAAAACCATGGAGATGACCATAACCACTGGAGAGTGACACCATAACCCACTGGTGGGGTGACACCATAACCCACTGGAGAGTGCCCATAACCCCCTGGTGATGACACCATAACCCACTGGAGAGTGACCCATAAAACCCCCTGGTGGTGCACATAACCCCCTGGGGTGACACCCCAACCCCTGGAGAGTGACACCATAACCCATGGGAGTGACCCATAACCCACTGGAGGTGACACCATAACCCCCGGAGGTGACCCATAACCCCCGGGGAGGACACCCTAACCACTGGGAGTGACACCATAACCCATTTGGGGAGTGACACCCTAACCCATGGAGAGTGACAATAACCCATGGAGGTGACACCATAAACCCATGGAAGGTGACACCCTAAAACCATGGAGGTGACACCCTAACCCCCCTGGAGATGACACCTAACCCATGGTGGTGACACCATAACCCATGGTGAGGACACCTACCCTGGTGAGTGACACCCTAAACCCCTTGGAGAGTGACACCATAACCCCCTGGAGGTCACATAACCCAGGTGGGGACACCCCTAACCCATGGAGGTGACACCATAACCACTGGAGAGTGACCCATAAACCCTGGAGAGGACACCATAACCATGGAAGGGGCACCATAACCACTGGAGGTGAACCATAACCCCCTGGAGAGTGACACCATAACCATGGAGAGTGACACCATAACCCACTGGAGGTGACACCCTAACCCCCTGGTGAGTGACACCATTACCCATGGAGAGTGACACCCTAAACCCGGTGAGTGACACCCAAAACCCCCTGGGAGGACACCCCAACCCCCTGGTGAGTGACACCCAAACCCCCTGGTGAGTGACACCATAACCCATGGTGAGTGACACCCTAACCCATGGGAGTGCACCATAACCCCTGGGAGTGACCCATAACCCACTGGAGCTGCACCATAAACCCACTGGGGGTGACACCCTAAACCCCCCGGTGAGTGACACCAAACCCCCGGTGAGGGACCCATTAACCCCCTGGTGAGTGAACCATAACCACTGGTGAGTGAACCCTAACCACTGGGAGTACCCTAACCACTGGACGGCACCCTAACCCACTGGAGAGTGACACCAAAACCCCCTGGAGGAGTGAACCATAACCCACTGGGGGTGACACCATAACCCATGGAGAGTGCACCCTAACCCATGGGGGCGTGACCCCATAAACCCCTGGTGTGTGACACCATTAAGCACTGGAGAGTGACACCTAAAACCCCCTGGAGAGTGACACCATAACCCATGGGAGTGACACCATAACCCCCTGGGAGTGACACCATAACCCACTGGGAGTGACACCATAACCCCCTGGAGAGTGACCCATAACCCCTGGTGAGTGACACCATAACCCCCTGGGAGTGACACCATAACCCATGGAGATGACCCATAACCCATGGAGGTGACCCTAACCCCCGGGACTGACACCTTAAACCCCCTGGAGAGTGAACCTAACCCATGGTGAGTGACCCATAACCCCCGGTGAGGACACCATAACCCACTGGTGGTGACACCTAACCCCCTGGTGAGTACCCCATAAACCACTGGAGGTGACACCAAAACCCCCTGGACGGGGACCATAAACCCCCTGGAGGTGAACCCCCCTAACCCCCTGGGAGTGGGCACCAAAACCCACTGGGAGTGACCCAAAACCCTGGAGAGTGACACCATAAAACCCCTGGACAGTTCACCATAACCATGGTGAGTGACCCCCTAAAGCACTGGAGAGTGACACCATAACCCATGGAGAGTGACACCCTAACCCCCGGAGAGTGACACCCTAACCCTGGGGGTGACACATAAAACCCCCTGGAGAGTGACCATAACCCACTGGAGAGTGACACCAAAACCCCCTGGTGAGTGACACCATAACCCATGGAGGGGTGAACAAACCCAGGAGAGTGACACCATAACCCCCTGGAGAGTGACACCCTAACCCAC